ATAAACTGTACCGGCATGATTATGATTTATTGAAAACAACTGTTCGCCTGACATTTTTCCAAATGAGAGTATGGGTATATTTCGAAATTTAAAAATTAACGTTGTATTAAAACTGCTGATCCTAACCAAACTATGGTCTTAATATGCAGGGTAACACCAAGACTACCATTGTGCCAACTTTCGTTCGTCTGATTGCACTATGTATTCAAGGAAGGGAACCACAGTCAAATTAATCTTGCCAGGGGAAAGTGGAAATTCTGGGTAGTGGTGTTTGAACACATATCAAGACTGAGCATTGAACAAAATTTACGTTCAGCCAACCGTTTTCATTAAAATATTCTTCGGCTTTGATTGGCTTTCCCAATTGTTATCCAATGGTTAACCAATTGGTCAGCCAGGTGATAACCAATAGTGGAGCATGTATATGAATGATAAATGGTTGTGAAAAGATATCAAGTAATACAAACAAACCACAATTCAACGCGAGCAATAAATGATGAGTAAACACCATTTACATTAATTACAATGATGAAACTTTAATACCTCGAAGTTGAAGAACTGCACTAATCAGTTTGAGCATGCTTTAGTAGCATTGTTGAGAACCGTATGCTAGAGTATAATTATTTCAACCTTACATATACTAGTGCATGTGTGGGACAAAGAAAAATCACGGGAACAAAAGAGTAAGTACCGTATTCGATCCGGGGGTGCGTGTGACGGGACGCAATTGGTTATCTTTGTCAAGGACCAATTCCGTACAGGACAGGACTACCTCATCATCGATGTCAGCGTTCGGTCCAGTTAACGTAACCGTGGATGACGATGTGCTCGGATAAGAAACTCGTGTTGAAAACCTGCGACCGACTGAGGTGGCGTGATCGCCTGGGGTGTCACCTGCACGATCCCCATCTGTGGTGACTGTAGATGCAACGGTGCCAATCAGAGAGGCTCTCAGCCCGGCACTTGGATCGCCCAAATGATCCTCCGGAGGTAGATAATTGCGCCAAACTAAGTGCAAAGCTTGAGCCAGTAATTTCGGATAATCATACACATAGGTGGTGTTAAATTTGCGCGCCTGTGTGTACGGAATGTGAGGACGGTAAAGTAAATGAAGCAACATGGAAGATGTTAAGGAAAGGAGTAACAAAACGGATAACCTAAATAAGTAGATTGAGTAGAAACTGTTACAATACCATTATAAAAAGAGCACGGATTATGATGTTGCATTTTACTTTCATCAAATATTGTGTTTTACTTCTTACGAGAGAAGACAACATACAGCCGTGAACAACGTCCAAACTCAATGTATATAAACTCAAAGTAGACCAGAATACTGTGTAATTTTGTGATATATATGGAGCTTTTGTACACGATTGAATAGTGTCACATTTAAAAATCCATCCAGTGACTGAATGGTGGACATACGAGATTATTATGTAAAGTCAGTATTAGATATTCACCGAGATTTACAAAGATCTCTCTAACACGGGATCCTAAATGCATTCATGTTTGCTGAGTGTTGGTGAGTTCTCCGAGCTGGAAGTGTTGTTCGCCGACGTTGCGTAGCCAAGCTAGGCGATTTGATTCAATTTCAAAAAGGAAATTCGTCGTGAGTACAACAAACGAAGCGTGAACCGAAAAGCTAGGAAATACTGGACAGCTGTTTCAACCTGGTTGGGTCTCATCAGCAGTGCAAATCCATCG